GGGTCCGGGCCGCTTTGTTCGCCGCCGCCGTCTCCGCCCGCGCCGGCCGCGCGCGGATCAGCCATTTTAGCGAGCGGGGTTCAGAGGCGCGGCGGCCACTGTCGCCACCGCCGCGGCTCTCGCCGCCGGGCCCGATATTCCCCTCGCGCACCGCCGCCGCCCCCGGCCCTGCGCGCTCTCCGGGGGTGGCAGCGGCGGATTTCACGGGCACTTTCTTTCATCCGCAGGCTTTTGACAAAATGGAAGGTGAACGCGGATCAGCCATTTTAGCGAGCGGGGTTCAGAGGCGCGGCGGCCACTGTCGCCACCGCCGCGGCTCTCGCCGCCGGGCCCGATATTCCCCTCGCGCACCGCCGCCGCCCCCGGCCCTGCGCGCTCTCCGGGGGTGGCAGCGGCGGATTTCACGGGCACTTTCTTTCATCCGCAGGCTTTTGACAAAATGGAAGGTGAATTATGGGTGTCCGGAGGAGCAGGGACGCGGCCTGACTCAGGCTGCCTGCTGCCAGCAGGGACTCCCCGGTGCCGGGTCCGCCCTACCCGAGCTGCGGCGGTGGGGCTCTAATCCGGCCCCACGGGCGGTCGCTGCCAAGGGGAGAGCTTTAGTTTTACATGATGACCTTGGGTGTGGGAAAAGGAAAAGATGGCGGGAAGCTGGGGGGGGGGGGGGGCAGGGAGGATGACATACCACAGCTGCATTTTTATTTGGAAACTTTGGAGAAAGTGGTCCTACCTGGACCTGCATTTCTGCATTACACACGGGAAAAGCTAGACATTCTGGGTCACCTCCTCCTTTCCATCGTGACAAAGTGACGGATTTCGACTAACGGTATTATGGTACTAGTGGTACCTGCTCACTTTCCAGATCACCCGTGTTGTCAAAAGACATTTTTATAAGCCAAACGCATCAGCAGGAGTGACATTTAACATCTGCTTCTGTTTATTTTTTTTCCCTTTGAGCTCTCATTTAAACGTAGCAATTAAAGGGACAACCACGTAGCTGGAATTAACGGCCTCCTCTACAAATGTGTCTTCCCGCTTTCCCGTTGTAGTATCCAGGGTAATGGCAGTTGGGTAATGTGGAGAGCTCAGCACCCCCACTTAAGTTATCCCCATTTGGAGAACTTATCACGCTGCAGGAGTAACTCACGACCAGCACGCTTCATGCTGGTCAAAAGTTAACTGACAAGCGACACTGAAGCAGATTCTTTGCCTGCTCCGCCTTCTGCTTCCTTGGATGCCAGACTTGGAGGGGAGGAGGGTTCCTGCCTAGAAACTTCATTGGGCTTTGCCTTTACATTTCTCCTCCTTTTTCTTCATGGAACATTTCTTTTTGTCTTCTACCCTTCACAGTCAGGATGGCTAAAGGTGACCCCAAGAAACCAAAGGGCAAGATGTCTGCTTATGCTTTCTTCGTGCAGACTTGCAGAGAAGAGCATAAGAAGAAGAATCCAGAGGTCCCAGTCAATTTTGCAGAGTTCTCAAAGAAGTGCTCTGAGCGGTGGAAGGTATTTTGCATCTTCATCTTACTATTGGGGTCACCACAGGTGGCAGGCTGTTCTGTTCCTCTGCTTAAATTCCTCCTATTTAACCTGTGTGTACTTTTCTTTTTAAAGGCTCTACAAGGGTTTAAGGCCAAAGAGTTGTGCAGTTTCTATTTTAATTACCGGAGAGTTGGGCAAGTATGTATTCAGTTGCACTGAGGAGTTTAATAAGCTCTATTTTTTGTAGACCATGTCTGGCAAAGAGAAATCTAAGTTTGATGAAATGGCTAAGGCCGATAAAGTACGCTATGATCGGGAAATGAAAGATTATGGACCAGCTAAGGGAGGCAAGAAGAAAAAAGACCCCAATGCCCCCAAAAGACCACCGTAAGTGACTGTGGGATATGTAAGATCAGTTAAAAGCTTTCCTTCTGACTTAAAGAGTTTTCAAAGCTGTTACCATAAAAATGGTGAGATGCTTCTTTGAAATGTTGAACGGTCAGTATAGTGTGTATGCCTGCAGTTAAGATTGAACTGTCTGTGGGCTCTGTGTGTGTTTGTGTGTGTGTGTGTGCGTACATGTGCGTGTGCGCGTTTTCTTATACATGTGCACATGCAGAGGTTACCAGTTGATCTTCCACTGGAAAGGAGGCACCCTACATCTGAGTGCAAGGGTCCTTAGATATATTATTACCCCTTACCCAATAAGTCAAACACAAAGGTACCATCCATATTGTGGTTATTGTAAACATTCTAGACACTAAAACTTGGTAGCATTGTATGTGGTGATTCTCCAGGCGTAAATATTCACTGCATTTCGAGTGGAGTATCTTGGCAAAACTATGAATCCAGCACCTGGAGGCTGGCTGAAACTGCAGGATTGAAAGCTTTAGTCCAGCCTGGGCTAGCCTCACATCAAGACCACAGCTCAAAAAAGGTGTAGATTTAAGGAAATTAAACCCATTTTTCTTGGTTGATGCTCATCTAATTTATATAATTCTCTTCCACCAAGGTCTGGATTTTTCTTATTCTGCTCTGAATTCCGCCCGAAGATCAAATCCACAAATCCTGGCATCTCCATTGGAGACGTGGCGAAAAAGCTGGGTGAGATGTGGAATAATTTGAGCGATAGTGAAAAGCAGCCATACATCACCAAGGCTGCAAAACTGAAGGAGAAATATGAGAAGGTAAGGGGACTGGGGGCTGCCCTGGTATTGGGGCCGTTGGTTGAGCTCTGCCTGGCTGAGTGCTTAGCAGAGCATGCAAGGGCCCAGGTCCCTCTTAGAGCAGCCAAGTGTGTTGCTATTTATGCTATAGACAGGGTCTTTAAGCTTTCCCCTCCTTTTAAGGGAAGCACTCTACCAAACTAAACCACCTGGTAACCCATCTTGGGAAAAAAGGGATTTACTAGGTTATTAACATGACTTAAAGGGCACTTGAATGCCCATTGAGTTGAGAATTTGAATGAGTAAGAAATGCTTACTCCTTTCAAAGGTAACTGGGCCCTGTGTTGAGGTGTTTGCTCTTCCTGCTTGCTTTGGTGAGGAGGGCCTTCTGCTTCCACCTTCTACCCAGAGAACAGTGGGAGAATGTAGCCACTCATTTCCACTGTGTCCCTTTTCTTGCAGGATGTGGCTGACTATAAATCTAAAGGGAAATTCGATGGCGCCAAGGGTCCTGCTAAAGTCGCCCGGAAAAAGGTGGAAGAGGAAGAGGAGGAGGAGGAGGAGGAAGAAGAGGAGGAGGAGGAGGAAGAGGATGAATAAAAAAACTTTTTTCTGTCTCCTTGTGAATACCTTAGAGTAGGGGAGCGCCTTGATTGACACATCTCTTATTTGAGCCGTGTCTATTGCTCTTGTTAGGTTTAATTACAAAATTTGATCACGATCATATTGTAGTCTCTCAAAGTGTCAGTGGTTTACATGAAATGGCCGTGGGTGTCCAGAGCGCCCTGAAACTGTATCAAAGTTGTACATATCTCCAAACATTTTTAAGATGGAAAGGCACTCTCGTGTTCTCAACTCTGTGCACTTTGCTATTGGTGTGACAAGGCATTTGAAGATGTTTCTGGCATTTTGTTTTCAACTCGTAAGGTGTATTAACTATGGTTATTGGCTAGAAATCCTGAGTGGTCAACTGTATATATCTATAGTTTGTAAAGAGAACAAAACAACCAAGACAAAGTCTTGATGCTCCTTGCTTGGCGTGGAGGCTGTGAGGAAGATGCCTTTTGGAGGGGCCGTAGCTCAGGGCGTGCACTGTGAGGCTGGACCTGTTGATACTGCGGTGGGCATCCATTTAGCTTCAGGTTGTCTTGTTTTTGTATATAGTGACATAGCAATTCTGCTGGCATTCTTAGTTGTGGAAGGGGGGGAGGGGTCAGCTGGCATGAGAAGTGTTTGGGTTTTTTCTTTTAGTTAAGTGCGGTAGATTTTAAACTGTTTGTTTCCCAACAAACTATAGAACTCATTGTCAGCAAAGCAAAGAACTACTACATCACCGGAAGTTCAAGAGCCCTCTGTACTTAAGCGCAATTTGCGACATTCTGTTATTTTTTGTATGTTTAGAATGCTGAGATGTTTTTGAAGTCAAATAAACAGTATTACATTTTTAAAACTGTTCTGTCCTACAACAGCCTACATTTCTGACTTACTAAGGTCTTAGGGAAGCCACTGGCTCCCTGGTGTTGGGAGACTAGCCTCTAAATCTGACAACTTAATTTCTACAGCTTGGGACTGAGATGAGGAAGAGGGGGTGGACTTGAAGGTACTGGATGATTTGTGTCTCACCTTAAGGTGGAGTCTAAGCACAATGTTGGGAGCTCAGATGATGACAGGAAGGCAAACAGGAAGGAAGCTGGTCCAGCCAAGTCTCGCTTTGAGTTGCCATCACGCCTGTTTTGTGGGTCCAAAGGGATTTGAACCTTTCCTTTCACCCCTGCACATGTGGGACACACAGTAGTGTGCTTTAAAAGTCCTTCAGAAAACCAGAACCCCAGACTCCATCTTGGGTCATTGTGTGAGGGCTGATGGACTGAAAAAGAAAAAGCACCATGAAGTGAATGGCCAGCCACTCTGAGATGTAGTATACAATGGTTCCTTGTTCAATTAGAATCCTGGTTTGTGTTTCAGTGGATGGTGTGACATTCGTCTATGTTGGGATGGAGTTGGTAGCCGCTGGCAAATAATACTAAAGACCACTTGAAGTGTGACCTGTACAAGCTCACTTCAGTGATTTAGGGGACAGTGTTGGTGGCTGAGTGATAGTATCTCCCACATTACTATTTGTATATGTATATTTGAGGCTAAGAGGGATACAATAGTGGTTTGGTGGCATTTTAAAATGTATCCTTGAACGTTTCATTGCAATCTTGCATGCCTAAAGGTGCCCTCTCCATCCTGTCAGGTCCTGGATGAATAAAAGTTGGTATCCTCATCACAACTGATTTCTCTACTCACAGCCACCCCCTTACATCTGACTACTTTGTCCTCCCAGTTCTTTCAGTCAGTAACTGTTGGTTGTGCAGTTTGCCCAGAGGCACTTGTTCTAGGATTGTTCTCCTGCTGCCATGTCCCTGCCACATGTTTTTCTAGCTTCAAGCTGCTGGACTGCCCAATTACACAGAATACTGGCCAAGAATGGGGAACCATGACCAACGTCATTAAGTAAGGAAGAAAGGCTTAATTTGTCAGAAGGGAATGGTTTCTTGTGAATTTGTGGTCACTCCTCAATCTGCTTGAATTGCACATAGCACCCATGAAAGGGCAAAGCCTGGGAGTGCTTCTGTTAGGCTCTTCCAGTCACCAAACAGAAATGGCAAGATGTTTAAAAGATGTATGTGAAAGTTGTAGAGAGATTCAGGTCGAGGCCACTTGCTCTTAGTTTCTTGCAACAAGACCTTCAAGGAAGAGGTTTTTATGCCATCCCAAGATGCTCCTGGGATGGCACTCTGTGACTTCTGAGATGCTGTGTTACCACCTAAGACTTAGGCTTAGCCTGGTTTCTGGGCATACTGTATTCTTGCAGTGCCAACCTGTTAACATTTTTTAATCAAAGGATAGTACTGATTTCCTCTAACCACCTCTCTTGCAACACCTTTAACCATGTACTTGAATGACATAACCATTGGGTCAAACGGGCTATAATATAGCGATTATTTGTCTACTGTGTGTCTGTTCTGGTCACAAATGTACTTGAGGACATTGGATGTATTCATTTTCTGTAATAAAATCTCTTAATCAGTCTTGCCCAAAAGATAATCAGTGGGCTGTCTGCAGTATGTTTCAGGTACTGGGCCTGTGTGCTTCTGGTTGATTACAATCAGTTGTAAGTTGTAGAAGCACCAATGTCACTAACCATTGATCTGAGCTAAGATTGAATGGAGTGATACTACCACAAAGGCCAATATGAAAGAATCTGAAACCCCTCGGTCAATCTTTTAGTCAGAGAAGTAGCGGGGTTGATGCTGAAACCTTGCATCAGGATACACATAGCACTTTCTAGGATGTTTATTGACTGCTGTTTGATAAAGTGGCTGGGTACTTAAAACTTACCAGCACTGACTTTTAAGGCTTTTTAAAAGCCTTGCTCTCTAGCCCAGGTTACCCTTGAACTGCTAATCCTCAGCCTCCGTAGTTGGGATTTCTGATGCCAGTGGTTGGGCTTAGTTGACTGACATAGCTAAACTTAAAAAAGAGTTGCAAGATGCACATTTCAGGAGTTACATGAATCTAGACTGTTCTGCTGGCACTGGGACAGGCATACATGTCAGTAAAACAAAACTATAAGCCCACACGGAGTGCATAGTGGCACATGTCTATAATTCTAGCACTTAAGAGGTTGAGGTAGAAGGATCCTGAGTTCAAGGCTAGCTTACATAGCCTTGCCTCAATAAAACAAAAACTCGGGGGCTAGAGAGATGGCTCAGTGGTTAAGAGCACTGACAGTTCTCACAGAAGACCTGGGTTCGAATCTCAGCACCCACATGGCAGCTAACAACTGTTTGTAACTCCAGTCCCAAGGGATCCGACAGCCTCTTTTGTCCTCCGTGGGCATTGCACGACATGGGTGCGCTTACCTACATGCAGGCAATACACACATACACATAAAAATAATAAAATGTTTTTTTAAAAAAACAAACAAACAAAAAAACCTTGAAAGAGAATGTCCCGCATAGGCTCCAAGTATTTGAAACCTTGGTCCCCAGTTGGTGGTGCTGTTTGGGGACAGTCATGGAACCTTTAGGAGGTGTGAACACGCTGGAGGAAGTATGTCATGGGGTGGGCTTTGAGAGGACACAGCCTTACCCACTTCCAATCTGTCTCTGCTTCCCATGCCTGCTTGAAGATGTGTGTGAGCAATTTGCTCTCTGCTCTGGCTGCCTCCTGCCTCTGCACCATGGTAGATGCTCACCCTCTGGAACCACAAGCCCAATGAACTCTTCCTTCTATTAAAAAATACCCCTTTGGGCTGGGTGTGGTGGCACATGCATTTAATCCCAGCACTTGGGAGGCAGAGGCAGGTGGATCTTTGTGAGTTTGAGGCCAGCCTGGTCCACATAGTAAGTTCCAGGACAGCTGGGGCCACAGGGAGAGCCTGTCTCAAAAAGACAAAAAACAAAACAAAACAAAACAAAAAAACAACCCCCCCCCAAAAACCCGCTTTTGAGTTAAAATTTAAACAGATATCTATAGCCAGTTAATTTCAACAAGGATGCTAATATTCAGTGGAAAAAAAAAAGTGTTTTCAACAAATGATGTTGGAATAACTGGTTATCAATGTACAAAAGAATGAACTTTGAACCCTACCTTACACCAGATACAAAAAAAATTCATTCAAAATGAAGATCTACATGTAAGAGCTAAAACGATGCCATTCTTAGAGGAAATGAAGATACAACTCTTCATGACCATTGAACGTGGCAGTGCTTTCACCAAAAGCACAAGCAACCAAGGAAAAGAATATATAAATTGAGCAAAACTTTTAAAAGCCAAACATTTTTTGTGCTTTAATAATTACTATACAGAGAATAGCCCACAATAGCCAAGCTTTTGCTTTTGAATGAGTTTATTAACCATGTAGCAAGCAAAAGAACAAACAGCAAGTAACAGATACACAAGAATCAAGTTACGTGCTTACAACATCCAGCAGAGACAACTGGGGAAGACTTGTTGAGGGAGGCAGGTTGAGCTCCTGACTGAATGTCTTAGGTGCTACTGCATTCTCCCTACAGATGACCTCCTGTTTCCACTGTAGGCATTTTTATACTATGGCTTAAACTATGAGAACCTCTGTTAGAAAGGGCTTACTTTCTAGGCGTTCTCAAGGGTACAGTGTTCTTAATACCCTCAGCTGTTTGCTGTTCTCCTTCCTCCCTACTGCAGAGGCAGGGAGCATTGGAGGACATTTGAAATAAATGAAATCTGGGGCAAAGGGGCTGCCCGTCTCTTTTCCTCAGCTTTCAATGAGTGCAAATAGCACCTTCCCATTTACCAATGTAGTTTATATTCCAAATACCAACAAGGAAGTGAACAGCTAGCCTACAGAATGGGAGAAAATGTTTGCAAATCATTTATGTGCTAAGGGTCTGATGTCCAAAGTATGTAAAGAACTATTACAAGTCAGCAATAAAGCTAGGTAGTTTTGCATGCCTGTAAACCCAGCACTTGGGAGGCTGAGACACGAAGGCCTCAAGCTCAAGGCTAGCCTGGGCTACATACTTTGACCCTGTCAAGTAAAATAATAAAGTAAATGTTATAATATGTAGTGTTTGGAGCATTGATCCCTTTAAATGAATAAATAAATTGTTTAAAGGCTAGTACAGGGGCTGAGGAGACAGCTCAGCCAACAGAGCCCTTGTGGTACAAGCGTGAGGACCTAAGCTTAATACTCGTCACCCATGTAAAAACCCAGACATGGCAACCTGTGCTTGTAATCCCAGCAATAGGAAGTGGAAACAAGTGATTCCTGGGAGCTTGCTGGCCAGCCAGCCTAGCCTACTTGAGTGTCAGACCCTTGTCACAGACCCTGTCTCAGGAAACAAGGTAGACAGAGCCTGAGGAGGAATGATGCCTAAGCTTGTCCTCTGGCCCCACCTCTGCCACAGGCATGTGAACCCTCACACAGGTACCGCTGCACACACATAAACACATACACACAGCTACATGTATACACACGCGAATAAATTATTAAATAAATATCATAAGTTGGGTATGGTGGAATAGGCCTATATTTCCTGTATTCTGGAGATATTACACTCAGGAGACACGAAGATTGTTTTGCATTTCAGGCCAACCTGGCCTACATTGTGAGTTCCAGACAAGTCTGAGCTACATAGTGAGGCCCTTTCTAAATCAAACAAAACAAAGCAACAAAACCCCAAAGACCTGGATAGACATTTCATCACATAAAGTGTACAAATTGCCCATAAATGTATATTAACTTTTAAGATATGTAATTCAAAACCCCAGTAAGATACCACCACACACCCACAAGGATGGCAAGGATGATAATAATAGTAATAGTCATAATAAAGGACTGAGGATGGAGCTGTAGATTTCATGCCTAGCATGTATAAGGCTCTGGGTTCAATCCCCACCACCGAAAAAAAATCAGCTCAT